GGGGGGGGCAAGAAGAGACCGGGGAACAGGAGTAAGGGGGCCAGGGCGGCGTTCGAGGCGGTGGCTAAATCAGAAATCTTCGAGCAGTGAGAAAGCATGACAATTTTAGATTCGTTGATATGTTTCCGCGTTGCATCAGTTTTTATTGAAGACCAAGCGTGATGGTGGCGGATGTCCCCACCACGGAAGAGCGCGACAGCTGCGCCGGTAGGGTGGGGGGGGGAATTTCGGAGTCGATTTGTTTGTCCCGGTGTCAGTAACTTTCAAGGCGGTGATTAGTGTCGATACTCATTGGGCGTAACTAGGTTGACGTTGTCTAGGTTTTATGGTAGGCGGAGACGACCAAAACGGGGCCAGAACGGGGATAGACAAGAATGGGTTGATCCACTGTGTTCTCTTTTGTTGTTCCTGTTATGTTGGTGTTGCAATATGGGCGATAGCGATGATACAGGTGTTGATAAATATTGCTTCGGTGGTTTTCTTGTCGGCAAAGCGTTGAGCGGAGGAGGGGGGGGCAGGGCCGTCTCTTCTACCTTGCCTTGCTGGTCCGTGCTTAGTTGTGCGCACGCTAGAAGGCTCTACAAAGCGAGAAACGGAACAATTTGGTTCGGAAACGAAGCCCCTCTTCCGATTCGGGGACATGGAGGCATACGTGGTGAGGTGTTGCTCTCTTCGAATTAGTGCGGCGCCTGATGAACCAGTTGTCTCATGACTTCGGAGCCGCGTGTGAAGCGCGCACTCACCGGTTCTTCAACTTTTCTAGTACCGTTCCCGACAGTTAAAACATTTTTCTCGGCTCCAGTCCTTCAACTTGGTCATGCCCTGTCGCGACCAGTGAATATGCCGCATCTCGTGCTTGTGCGCCAATGTTTGCGAGGCGTTCTCGTGGTCTGTTTAGACTCTTACGCTACCCGACACGCTAGTCACCAACAAATAACGGGCACCGCAGCTACGTGTAGCTTCGCTTTTCGGTGGTTCTTATACGCTGTCGACTCGTCACTCGTCTACACGGGAGCGGCTCGCGTTCGGACCCTGGAAGCATGGAAGAGTTTTGGCGCAGTTTTACATTTTGTCTGGCGATCATGACCCAAGAAGTCCCCACTTCTATGCCATACTTTCCTGCTACCACAAACAAAAGTGGTCTCGTCATTCTCACTGTACGGTATCGTTCTCTATTTACCGATCACTCTCATACGCAGCATCACGGCCACTGCTGTAGCCTACATCATAGACTACAGTCCCTGCTGGAATCCGCCGGGCTCGACCAGTCTGTCCACAAGCGCGTCGTACGGCGCCGAAGACGAGTCGCCACCCGCCGCACGCATGAGGGTGATGACCGCCTGCTCCGGCGTCGCCGGCCCGAACTCCACCCCTCCGGCGATTTCGAGCGCCCGAAGAAAATCTGGCCTGGACGCTCGGCCCGTTTCCTGTGTCCGTGTCACGCCACGCCGCGACCGTGTTTTGACGATTTCCGGTACGTTTTTACATGCACGCATGCGTGATACTCTACTCTTGCGAAGTTCGGTCGTAAGTCAAGGAGGGACCAGAGTCAGACAGCCTAACAGCTGTCCGGACCCTGGTTGTACTTTTGTTTGATATACAACATATCCACTGAGCTAAACAGTCAGCGCTGACTGTTTAGCTCAGTGGATATGTTGTATATCTAACATTCACCACAAGAACAAGCGGGAGATGTCTATGCAGATCTGTTGCATCTCTGTAGACTGAAAAAAAATTGCGACGCCGGTCACACATCGCCTATCAATCGATTGGTGGTTGGTACGTACCGTCGTCGATTAGATTTCAGGTATTGTGATACATGAACGCAGTGATGTGCGCAGAGCTCCCTGGCGGCATTTGCTCAATCCTCGGCTTCAAGCTTGCACCCTTCTACTCCCTACGTCTAAAACCACAGTGCCATCCCAACCATCGAAGAACGTAGCACCGATGCTTAACAACGAAATCCCATCGCAAGTACGTACGTCAGTTCCATCTCGTAAACGCTACACCACCTAACCCTTTCAGCCCACCTTGAGATCACGCTCGCGGAGGAACGCTCTGACTTGGTCGGCCCGCCCGTCGACCCAGCTGGCGAGGTTCTCCGCAGCCTTGACGGGGTCTGAGTGGATGAAACCACCGGGGGCATTGGCCCTCTCCTCCATGTTTCGCAGGGTTTTGTCGTCCGCGGCCGTGACTCGGAAGCAATGGCCGTGGAAGGTCACCTCCGCGCCGACGTAGAAGGAGCACTCGGTGATCACGTTGCCCGACGCGTCCCGCACCTTGTCAACGGCAACGACGTTACAATCATGATGACATCGAGAAGAAAAATTGATTATCGTGTTCCCTTGGGTATATTATTGTGTTGCTTCCATCGGAATGGTATAGGTACACGTTGTGACGATTCGATTTGGTCTTGATATCTTCATTTTTTCTTGACGCCTCTACGAGAGTAGATCAGGCGTGACAGACTTTCCCTTGGTCAGCGATACTTGCAGACCGTCAATGGCCCGATCCCCGGCACAAACCAGGGCAAAGCACGAGCAGGGAAGCTGCACCCAATACTCGCAAACCGGCACCTCGATATACGCATCAAATTGACGGTTTTGAAGAGCGTAATCGTACGGCCGCTAGAGTACGCCGGAGAAGTGTGGGAAGGAAATAAGAAGGTAGTGAAAGAACTAGAGGCGGCGCAAATAAAATCAGCGAAAATCATCCTAGGATGCTCCAGGCGCACAAGTAATGCAGCCGTGAGGGCAGAACTGGGGATCCAATCCCTACGGTCTGGAAGAGACGCGAGGAAGCTGACATGGCAGTATCGCATGTGCGGGATGGGAGAGGAGAGGTTGCCGAGAATTGTATGGGAGGCGAAGTGGGCAAACAAAAAGAGGGGTAGACAACCCACGGAATGGGTCAAGGTTGTAGAGGACGTATGGAAGGGGCTCGACATCGACGAAGATGAAACGCTGGAAACGGAGGGTCTACAGGGGTTCAAGGAGAAGATATATGTTGCTTGTGCCGAGAGAGAAGAACAGAATCT